AAAATTATTATTTGTTTATTTAATATTTTAGATGCTTCAAACAACAGCACAAGAAGAAGAATTATGTAAAGCCTTATTTGCTGGAACAACTAACATGAATGAAGCAGCTCAAAAGGTAAAATCAGTAAGCATCAATTATTATTAATATTCTCTTACAATGCTTTGTAATATGTGTTAACAATAAAGAATTTTTTAATTAGCAGTAAAAGTTTCAAAAGTATCAATTTTTTTAGTCTTTTGTGGCTACAAAACGAAATTTCTACTTAGAAAGTTCCTTAACATGAATTTTTAATAAAATTTTATGTATTTAAACTAAAATTCAAATTTTAAAGGTTAAAAAATTTTTTGCTATCAGCAAATTACTTTGACAGTACTATTCATAAATTGTTTTTTCATTATTTTTGTTATTAACCTACAATATGTTACTTATTTCCCTGAATAGTAACAATTCATTTTATTCAGACCTTTTCTACTATAATTTTTGTAATACCAGATTTCTGTTTCCATTTAATTTTATCTAATTAGCATGAACTAAATTTTCATTGTCATTTTCCTTTACTCTTATTAATTTTTTTAATTAGAAAGAGCAATTTGTACAGAAAAAATTTATCATTTTACTTGATAGCAAATATATATATAACTAGTGAAGAGAAATAGATGAAGTATGCGTAAAGTCACTCATTAGTTTTCTTTTTGTTTTAATGAAAAAATGTGTAAATATTAAGATAGTTAAATAAAATTAAATATTGAAACAGTCGAGAGTCAAATCAAAAATTAATCTACTACTATTTTAGATATATAAAATATTGATGTTTTTGTGCTGTCATTTCTCAAGATTCCTACATATTTAGTCTTTATTATTTTTTGTTTTTTAAATAGGAAATTCATTGAGAACTTTGGAACATGAGAGCTGAGGAACTTCAAAAGAAAAATAATAACTCTGCGAAAATATAATTACATAGGATGGCTAAAAAGTGTTTGAATCTGAACATGTTCCTTGTTTTTATTAGTTATAAAAAATGAAAAACACAAATTTCTATTTTATATTCAAATTTATTAACAATAATAAACTTACTGTATACTACAGTTGTAACATCAATTTTCTGTGTTAGTATTTAGTATGGCTTCCATCACTAGCCAAACATTCCTTTTCTGTTTTAGGGAAGCTTAGAATGGTATTAGGTAGCTTTTCCTAAGATATGGAAGTCCATTCATTGTAAATATCCTCATTTCTTGTCTGAGTTAATGTTTCTCAATGTAGCCCAAAGTTGGCTGAGTGCACAGACTTATCTTAGTATTGGGAATGCATTTCCAATACTAATAAATCTTATACTTTTGAACTTGATCTCTGACTCTGTTCAGCACTTAATCTTCAAGGATAAGTGTGTGCACTCAGCCAACTTTGGGCTACATTAGGAAGTCCATTCGTGTTGAACCAACGAATCAATTGTTTCCTGTTGCATGGTCTGGATAATGTAAATACTTACTCCTGCAATTGCAATCAAATGTTTTCCGTGGGATTCAGGTCTGGTGAGTTTTCAGGCCAATCAGTCCACACGGTGCTTCTGGGAGGAAAGGATTTTCAATTTCCTTGATGGAATCCTTAGCTTTATATGTAGTTGTATTATCTTACATAAAAGTCATGCTTTCTTGAAAAACATTGATCATGTAATTTATTGATTGACAATTCAGTAATCTAAAATGCCATCAGCCAATAAGTTTCTGATCCCATTCAGGAACTTTTTGGCTAGTGATTCATAACTGTTAACAATTTGTTATGCAGAAACATCAATAAAATGGGTTGCTTTTTTAAAAATAAGCATAGGAGAAAGTGACTTTCCACCTCAAATATGTGGTTTACAGAACTGTGTTCACTCTCAAAATTTGATGGGCTGATTTTGATAAAACTTTGCCATTTTCTATTAATTATGATGAGAAATCCCAAAATGTAGTAAAAAATGGGGGTCCATGACTTTGTTTTCAAGGTACAGTAGGGTCAAAGTAAATAATGTCCATGCTCCCTTATGCAATTGAGTACCCCTAATGGAATTTAGGGGGCAGATATGTATATAACAGCATTGCATGCTTGACAGAAAATGGGTGCAAAAAACAAATATAAGAACATAGCAATAAACATCGATTGCTTTGTTCTTGGATCACCTCTTCTATACCTGGCCTGTGCAAGAATCACCTCTTTCTTTCTGGCTCTGCCTCAGTTTTATTAACACATGATAGTTGCAAGATGTCTTAGTAAAAATGATTTAACTTCTTCTTTATTTGTTAAGGAATTTTTTTATGTTTCTAAGGCCAGGTCTCTACATCTAAAAAATTCTAAAAATTGTAGGATTCTATACAGAATTATGTGTATGAGATGCAATGATGCAGCATGTTTTTTATGTTGCTAGGAAACTGAACAATGTAGAAAAGTTTCCAGAATGCAATGCAAATCATATTCATTATTTTAATTATTTATTAATCTGGACTAAAATTAACTTAGGGAATCAGAAACTTTTGGCCACCAGTTAACAAGATGATTTAAAAATAATTTATGAAGAAAGAATAATACACCATTTACTAATAATAGTACTAACTCATCAAATAATCTAAGAAAAAAGGTGCAAATATTTATTTAATTGAAGTGCAAATTCAGAATTCCAGATTTTTGTTGTAAAAATTAGGAAAAAAGTTTGGATGAGAGAAAATATTAATAAATAAATAAGATGAATTATCAATGCTATGTAATAGAAACCCATTTTAAATTCCTAATATAAATTTTATTTAACATCTTCCTAATGAGGAATGTGCTAAATAAAATTATTATTTTGTCATCCAACCATTGTTTAAATACTGCTAATTAAAAACTTCTGATGTTAGAAATTAAGTAATTTATTTTATGAAATTTTGTAAAACTATTCCATAATTCATAATTTTTAAAATTTGGTTGCCTTTTATTTTTTTAATTCTAATTATTTCTGTATATGATCAGTTGAGATGTGAATAAAAAGTATTTAACGTTCATTAGAAGTTAAAAATTACTTTCTAAAAATTTTATAATAATAATAATTTAAACTTTTAGAAAGAAGACAGAAGATTGATGTTTAAGAAATCATTAAATGTCAGTGAAGTGAAAGAAATGGATGACGTTTCAAGTGATATTAAATATCACGATGCTAAATTAACTGGATCGGAAGAAGATAATTTAATTGCACAAGTGTTAAGACAGAGAAAAACAGAGGATTCATCCGAATTATCGGTAAAAAATGACGATAAATCAGTTCAAGATGGTGACGGTGCCAAATCTTGAGGAGCTGATAAAGAAAAAATGGATTCATTTTTCTACCCAGTGATTTCTTTTTAATTATAATATAGTAATTTATGAACTATCAAATAAAAATTTCATAATTGTAAACAATTTTCATAATGTGTGTTATATGTGACAACTTTGTCTGATTTCATCCATCGTAGAATTAAATGATCAAAGTATTTTTAAAATTGTATTTGACTTTTAAACTGAAATTCTTTTTTACAATTGTAAACTCATTGAACTTAATTTCAATAAAACTAGAAAATTGCTAAAAAATTCATTCTCAAAATGCTTTTATTTAGAATTATTATTTTTGTGGCTGTTTAATATCTCCCACTTAAGTGTGTGAAGGTTCAGTTCTCTCGAGAAAAAAGTTACTGACGTCAGGCATCCCGACGTTTCTTAAACGTTAGTCAATCTATCGTGGAATAATGAAAGGGGATCCCCATAGCTCCACAATTCACTTTAAAAACAAAATATATTTAAGCAATAATTAATAGTAAATTCGATTTCATTACGTTAAAATTATTTATTAAATTACGAAACAGTTTTTAAAATACATTTCAGTTTCACTGATGGACGGGCGTTTAAGAGCGATCTGAAAATATACGGGTTAAATAATTTAGGTTATTTTTCATCTTATTAGTTGTAATTATATCATAACTTTACAACAATTTCGAATATTTCTTTTATAGCTTATTCTACTCATGTTCATAGATTTATTCGAAATTTTATTCAAACCAATATGGTTCAGTTATATATTAAACTTATTTAGCCTATCGAGGCATTTTATAAAATGGCTGAATGTAAATTTAAGATGAAAAAAACGATATCTTGATGTTTTTAATAATAACAAAATTTAATAAATAATTTAATCTTCAATATATAAAGTGCGATCGTGATTTTCCCGAGTGATATTTCAGGTTACCTGTATTTTTATGGGTGACATTCAATAGAAATTTTTAAAGAAAATTTTCTTCTGAAGTATACTTAAATTTTCGTTACATATTGTACTTAATTTACACTAATTATATTTAAGAAATTTTAAAAATACTTATTTGTATAAAATAAAATTTTTTTACTTTTATAAATGCAGTACGTTCTCGCTAATCCGGACCAATTATTGTACGGATTTGCTCAATTTATTAGGGTGATATATGAAGAAAAGGAGGTCAAAATGACTACAAACAAACATATACGGTCCTCGGCATCGCTCTCGTATGTAATATTTTTTGTACTCTAAATTCCGTTTCAGGAACACCAAAATCTTTTGAGTTAATTTTTATTATCTGTTTTTGTTTACGGTTTTAAATGTTTTATAAAATTCAACATATCTAATGTAAAAAATTAAAACTTTCTTATTTTAAAAGAAACGTTATAAAAATTTCATTAAATTAATTAACTTTCTGATAACGGAATTTCCTTTACAAAACGCAACTCTATATTCGATGTTCGGACAAATACAGTATAAAAGATTTTTATACTGTATTTGGTACCTACATTTATGTTAAGATGCGTTACGTGTTTAAAATGATACACGATTTCTTTTTGTTTATGGCTAGAACATTTAGCGAAAGAAACGAACAAACTTGATTCGAGTTAAGCGACGTTCGGATTAGCGAGAGTGCGTGGTTACGTGTTTACGGTGCGCACCTCCAAATTTTTATGTATTTCTTTGAATAATTGGCTTTCGTTTGTGCGGATCTTTAAGAGCTCGCACTTCAAGGACATAATCTCCGCGATAATTACGATCGCACTGTACATACATCAGTAGAGAGAAACAATTGGAAAACTACCTTTTTCTTTCATGCAAAGAGGTTTTGGGTGAGAAAATCCATCGTCACAAGGTTGTTGTATCCATTTCATGTCGATCGAAGTCATGTAAACGCAGTCACCTTCTTTTCTGGCACTGGGGTTCCAATTAGTAAAATTTACTTTTGAGCCATCTTGCCATACAAATTCGCCTAAAACGACAATAGAATCGGATTAAAATAATAATAAATCACAAGCAAATAGTAAATCTTACCATCAAATCTCTTGAAGAGACCCAGCCATAATTTTTCGGAATCGTCGCCGATCAGAGGCCAAAGAAGTTCGGTTTCATAAATGGAATGAAAAGATGCTAATGTGGAACCTACAAAAAATTGGACATTGCAAAATAAATTATAAAATTAAATCATTTCTTTATACTTTCTTTACTATTCTTTAAATCTATACAATCTCGTGTTTTTATCAAAACATAAATTTATAATCCAGTTAATAGTAATATAATTAGTTGGGAATAAGTATTTATTATGTTTAAAAGTTCATTACCATGGGTCAGACAGAGCTGCAAAGCTTTCCCCCAGGATAATGTCTGTTGATTAATAATTTGATAACAATATTTTCCTCCAAAATCCATGGCATCGTTCCAGTAAGAAGGACATTTACCCTTATGTTTTATAATAGGAATTGCTGGTGGAGTTTCTGTCACGTAGTAACAACAATTCTAATATGAACTATGTTACATTGTTTTTTATATAAAACTATATATAGCTTATATATGTATATATATGCACTGTAATTACCTGGAGTCACTTTGCATACGTAAGGAAGATAAAGTTTGCAATTATCGACATTCCAAAGTCGAGTGGAGTTGTTCATATAGGTGCATTTGGGTGTCTTGGACTGACCCGGTCGCTTTTCCCAAGCCAAAAATAAATTAGGCCAATCATCCGTCCAGCTGTAAATTCCGTCTCCCTAAAATTTTAGAATACATTAAAAAATTAATCTAACGGCAATTTGTTTAGCTGAATGCCACAAATTTTTATTAGCTTGCTTTTGTACAATTCTTTTATAATTAAAATGATTGCATCAATGAGTTATATATTAATACTAAATTAATCTAAAGTTGGTCTGTTCATATGCCGCACCACAACATTAGTGAAGCATTGAAATACAGTACACAAAAATCTTTATTTTTGCTGCATTGTGTGTGTTTATCCATTCTCAACGCGACGATACCGCTATATTATAGCCATTTATTTGATGACATTAGATTTAATTCTATCCTTGTGTTATTCCAACAGATCACATTAGCATACTGTATACAAATCTCTAAAATGCATCCATGAGGCTCGTGCCCTTATTTATGTTTTTCCACACATTTCGGCAAATTAAGAATGCAGGAGTTGGTTGCTATCTCCATGGGCTCTTCAACACCTTCAGTTTCGGTAGAGACCGTGTATATTCGATGAGTTGAATATTGACCCTCGATGTCAGTCTCCAAACGAAATGAGACTATTTTAAAATACTGGCTCGAGCCAACCCGATGGAATAAAACTCTTCCATCAAGTTGGCTCGGCCAGTATTTCAGACGTGCTGTACGTTCAAATTCACAGAACGTATAGAATTTAACTTCATTTGCTATTACAAATTAAACACTTTATTATATGTACAGTACTTTATTATATGACGAAGTGTCAGAGTAACAAACAAAATAATACGGTGACAAAAATCCAATGTAGTTTGACGGGTGATCCAAGTGCACATTTGAGCTTACTCATTAACTACTTTCTCTAACATTAGTTTTATGGTTCACCACTGGAGCGCTGAGTTAAGTTGAATGACTGCTCTGTATATTACTGCGCTGTGTTTAGATTGAGATACGCCGGGAAATAAACTTTCTAAACAAAACACAACACGTTTTGCGAGGATAAACTTTTCTTTCAATATTTTAAACAGCGCTAGTGCCTGGATCTGTAAGTTCGTTTGTATTTTCCTTTTCAGTCTCCTTGTCACTAGTAACATTTGAAGTACTGTACTGTACTTGCTACATTTTTTTCAACACTCTTCTGTCAGCCAATGCTCTGAATTAAATATACCTATTAAATAAATTAAATATACCTATTAAATATATATATGTGTATACCCCAAATTAAAAATCATTTTTTAATTTTGGGTATACACAATACTAAAAGCACTATAAATATACACGACTCCCGTTATATTTTTATATGAAAAATAATAAAAATATCTCAAAACTCTAATAATCTTTGACTGATATGCCTGCTTGCACGCTGCACCGTATGATAAGACATTAATTATTTGGTTTCGTTTGTTACTGGGAAAATGACGCTCTCCCGAAAAACATTACAGATTGCACTCCGAACAAGTTGGATTCAGTCTTTCATTCACATTTCATTATATGAGTAAAGTAATAAAGTGCAAATAATAAACTAAGTATTAGCTTATTTGGTGCGTTATTTTGTTGTGGGTCTTAGTGTATAATATGGGGTGCCGTGGCAAAAGAGCAGGCGGCACACAACAATAATACAATCGTTTTTATTTCGTATAAGTTAATGTTTTGATCGACGCTGGTTTTGATTGATTTCAAGTTAAAATTAATGTTTTCATCAACATCTCATTAGCAAACCCAAATGATTAACAGTAAATATTATAAACTACCGAAATTAACATTCCAACAGGAGTGCATTGAAATCAAATAGACTTACATCTTCGTCTCTCAATCCAATCCATAAATCTTCTTTGACATCCTTAACGAAATTATAAAGAAAAGCAAATTCGAAGTTATCATTAATGGAAACAAGATGCCCATTTTCTTGACGACATTGCTTTTCTGCTTCAGACCATGAATTTCTTTGTTTAACTAAACGATAGCAGGCGTTTCTGTAATTACTATAACCTTTCTGGCAATCCTTATTGGTTTCAATTACATGAGGTTTATAAGCGGGATCTAAAAAACATTTCGTAAAATGTGAATTTTTTTTAAATATCGAATTTCTATATTTTAATTAAATAAATAAAAAATTACCGGGTTCTCTTTGACAAATGTAGCCTGATTTTGTGTTGCACATAGTAGGAACCCATTTTCCAGCAGATTTCTTCGTAGATGTTAATTTAGCGCATTGTGTTACCTATTACAAAATTTAAAATATACGTTAAATGATGAATTCAGATAATTATTATGATTTGTAGAAATTTACCCAATAATAACCTCCAGCGCCAGGAACCCAATTAGTGTAATTGAATATCGAATTGTCTGACCACATTTCGAGTTTGGAAGTGTAACTTCTTTCCAGTCCGATCCAAGCATCGTAATTGTGATAAGCTTGTAGACTTGTTAGAAACACTAGAATTGAGGGTTTACAATGTAAATTCAATAAAGTTAATGAAATGTTTTAATATTATTTGCAACTAACTCTGTTCGGATTCGCTGTGAATGGAAACTAGAAAATGATTTTCTCCGAGAGATTGGCATTTTTCTTTGGCTTCTTTCCACGTCACTTTTTCGTCGTTTGATTCACCAAAAAATTTATAACATTTTGAGCCTATCATATATAATTTAAACCGCATTTAAGAAATATTTTGTCACTTTGCTTTCGTCTTCAACATAGATTTAACAATTTATATTTACCGTATTTATACCAAGTTGCTGGACAGTTACCACTTGGTACATAAATTGAAACTGGAGGTGGTACAAACTTGTCTCCAGATATTCGTTTGCAAACAAAACCTTGGAGATATCCACAGTTTTTATCTTTCCATTCCCCTATTGAAATATAATAAATTATTTATCAACTTTTATTTTTACATTTTATATTACATTATCAAAATGAAAAAAAAATTCAACTTGCCGTTATCTTTCCTTAAAGCTACGCATTTATTGGCTGAAGTTCTAGTTGAATCCCAAATTTGGTAACTCAGTTTGGATCCATCGGACCAGTTAAATTTCCCAGGATAAGTTAGAGCGTGTAAACCAATCCAGATGTCATCTGTAAACATTATCGGTTTTACCTGCAATTATAATATAAAAACTATACATAATAATGAAGTATAATAATTCACGCATTTCTATGCACAAGTTATATTTTTTATTACTCTATATTAAGCATTTTTAAAAAGAGAAAAAATAATATAATCGTGATTTTTTTTTACCAGATTCGAAACAAAATCATTTTCCTCCGAAGATAGAATTGATACTAAGGTAGCATTCTTTCTTCTACAATTATCTTCGGCATCATACCATGAAAGAGCGCTCTCAGGGTATCCCGAGACACCCAAATAACAATGGCCTTGAAAATATTTCCAATTATATGGACATTCTTCCGTGAGGCTATCTATTAGAAGAAATAAGGTATTTTTATAGAGGTTCTATTTCCTATGTATAATAAATACAATTAACCCGAAAATTACTTAAAATATCAAACAAACAGCCAGATTCTTTTATCGGGCTATTAATGCTAAATACTTACTAAGTAATTTGACAGGAGGCATCTCTTGTTAAATTTACTAATTATAAATAAATAAATTAATTTAATTTAATTTTAGGATATTCTGGAAGAAAAGATCGCCCGGATCTTTTCTACCCGGCTCCTGGCTCCTGGCTCCTACCAAATTACTTAGTAGTTATTTAGCCTTAAAAGTCCAATAAAATTGCGGCTATTCGTTTGATATGTCCTATTTTCCCTAATTTACCTAAATTTAAGATAAACAATGCATAAAATTTCTCAATTTTATTCTAATCAGCAATTTCCGATTCAATGGCGATTACAGTATTTATTTATCATTCATCCTCATTGTTTTCTTCATTTTCATTTTCATGTCTTTATATAGTACAAATTAAAATCCATTAGATATTTTAGAATATACTTATATATTCATTAGAAACATCAATTCTTTTTATGTTATTACGCAAAACTAAAAATCACAATTTAAATAAAAATATATAAAAACTGCTACATTAAATCTTATAAACATGAAAATTTTTGGAAATGGAATCAATTAAATGAATTTACTCGTAAAATGGTTGTTTAAAATACACTTTAACTCTCTTTGGATTTTATATATTAAAAATCATTTGTATTATTTTAATATTTTAAAAATATATTAGAAAAAGTATATTTTTAAAATAAAAGTAAAATTCCCATAAATCCTAACTGAAAATTAATTAATTAAACTTATGAATTTAATTTATTGTTAGCGCATTTAATGCGATATTTAGAATTAAAAAAATATTGATAATACCTTTTGTAAGAGCGCCCAGCAACAATAATAATAAAGAGAATCTAGCCATTTGCTATTAGTAATACAAATAAAGATAGAGCTAAACTTTTTCAAGCTTTTTATATGCCGAATGATGTGAATGATATCTCGTATCTTATCTTTAATGAATATTTTTAATCATTTAGATAAAAATTAATTATGAAAGACAATTTCGTATATTATAACGCAACAACTGCCTGAAACAAATTGTGAAAAATAATATTAATGTAAAATTAATTACCTGATACAAATTGTTAATTTAAATCATATTTCAGCAGTCCAATAAAATAAAAAATTGCATCATTAAACAAGTCTATTCCCTATTACGTATTAATTATTATATTCTACAAAACAATAATTTCGAGATAAATGAGAATAAATCCTATTAATGAATATTTCACTCTTTTTTGTTATTTATGAATTGAAAAACTGCGAGTGATGGCCTTCGGATTATCAATAGAAATTCTATATCTTATCTTCGCAATATCTACTCAATGTGTTCTTGTAAGTTTTAATAGATATTTTATCGCTTTACAAGTAAAAAATAATAATTCATATTAAGTAATCATTTATATAAAACTTAGCAGGAAGACCCGGCGTTGCTTGGGTTAAAAAACAAGTAAACTTTCAATACCGTTAACATCGACCCATAAGAATTGTCTAGTTTTATATTCTTGTAAATCACCGATCATATATTTAAAAAATAAATGTCTGAGTAGGAACCACATTTCACATACAAGAAGCTTCAATCACTTCTTTGTAGATTTCTAGGAGAATGGTGTAGCGTAGCTACCTCGTTGGATATGCATATTGCACAAATAACTAATATGCACATACAAGTTATAAGCAATAAAACAATCCATAACCAATAAAACAATCTATAATAATCTATTCACGACAATTTGTGATTGAAATAAACACTAAGGGCAGTTCGATCTTACAACATGCGGGAAAGAATAGTATAAGTTTGCATTTACGTTTGTATGTATATATGTGAACAGCTATTATTTATTAACAATTATCTTACACAGAGGGAGAGAAACTAAATGGAGTTTTATTGAAGAAGCTGTGTTTGATGCAAAACATTCAATTTTGTGTGGTCTCCGACACCCTTCAGAATAATATGAAAAAGTCGAAGGTTTTGTGTTCAGAATGTTCTAATGTAGTATCAATCTTCAAGAAATTATTAAATACTACATGATTTTATTAATATTACAGTAATGGTATAAAAAAGTTCTAAAGTTAAAGATTGACTTGAACAAAAATAAAGTAATATTTATTCTAAAAAATTAAAATATGGTGTCATACCATGATTAAGAGTGTGAACTATTATAAGTGGCAAAAGATACGAAAAATAAAACTAAGTTATAAGAGATTACACAACCTATTATGTAAGCTTTTTGCAGATATTTCACAGTGAATATGTAGGCTATTAATGAAGGGGTGGATTCACATAGGGACTAATAAGGCTTAAGCCCTGAACCCCGAAGTGTCAAGGGCCCATAAAAATTGAATTATTTTTGTTAATAATATTTCTTTATTTCTTATGTTTTTTATATAAATATGAAATTTATAATTTAACATCATTTAATAAATAAATATATTTCAACTCTGCTTTTGATCTTATTAAAAATGAATTTTAAACCCCAATTTAAAGATTTTTAATCTAAAAAAAATGGAGCCCCGTTGGACTTCAATAAGTCCTAGGCCCCGAAAAACCTAGATTCGCCCCTGTATTAATGTAATACTTTTTGAAATAATTATTGAAACAATTAGTGTAGTAAAAATTATTTTACCCTGCATATAATCAGTCGTATGAAAATAGAATAGACAAAAGTGTTATTGGATAGTTCCTTTTCAAATTTAAAAATTTTGCAACCACTGCTTATGTAACTTAGAATCAGGCGGTCCTCTACTTTCGTACAATTCGCTATTTCGTATACATTTCGTACTTTCGATTTTTATCGATACATATGGTTTTTTCGATACAAATGGATTTTTATCGATACAAATGCACGTACTTTCATGTAATGATTCTCCCCTTATGAACAATACCTCTTAATCACTAGTCCCTCCTCTCCCTCCGACATTAATTAATTAATTAATCACGTCCATTTTCGGTGTCACAGGTTGTCTTGAACAGAGACGTTTCGAGTTAGCGCTTGTGTTGATAAGTTGTGTCTTATTAGTTTATGTTAGGACGTGTGCTATCACTTTATGTACACTTCTGTTTTGGTGAAAATATTCGCTTTTATTAATTCATAAACATGAGTGAAAAACGAAAAAACATCAGTGTTGATACGGACAGAAAGAAATCAAGGTCTCATAACCTTCATATGATCGAGAGCGTATATCTTATATACGAAAGGAAATAGAAAAAGACATAGCATGTTACAGAACTCTTTATCAAGAAAAGAAAATGAAGAGTACAATTCAATTATCTCTTAGCAAATTTATAAAGAAAACACCAGATACTAATCAATAAAATCTAAATATTTTGAAAACGCTTTTTGATTTTTTTTACATTGTTCTTTTTTACATTTTAACTTTCATACACATTTCAGGAACCAATTAGGTACTAAATAGCCTGCTTCTTTATATCTTCTTCCGAAAAATTCAAAGTTTGCTCTTACATTGTGGCACACTGCAGAAGGGATTGGTTACTTTAGTGTCTTCGAGTTTTTTTATAAATTCATGATAGATTTAATCAAACAATAAAAAAGTTTCTCTTCATTAGAAAAATGGCGGAAAGTAATGCTGTTGTGTGTAAACGAGGCGAAACACATTGCATTGTCAAGGTAGGAAAATCGTTTTAAACGAATATAGTTATTTTAATCGTCAAAATTTATTTTATAGCCAAGTTATTAACGTCACAATTACGCAGTCACGTTTCTTAATCCTCAACAAGACTGACTAATTGTCCGTGAAAAATTCATATAAAAGTTTTATAACAATAATCATATAAAGTTTCACACTTACATATTACACAAGTAATACCTCACCAATTTGTTTTTGTTAAATTCAATGCTTATTTTATTTTCGATCATATTATCGTGGATTTGGCCTGGCCGACAACGGAGGAAGTCGAGTAATGAGGGACGAGGCCCAACATATTCAGGACAAATCAATCCTCGAAAAATGCCGGAGGTTGCTCACTCGGATTCGATCCTGAATCCTCAGAGAGTGAGCTGACACATTAACTACTTCGGTAATCTGGTCGAATTCAATGTTTATCAACAAATTATAATGTCATTTGTCTGTTTGTTGTACCAATGTAATATGGAGCTACCAACCGTATGTTTTATAATTTGAGATTAAACAAGAATTATGTCTNGGGCCACATTGGAAGAAGTCATGGAGTTTTGGGCCACAAGTATATATAATATATTTGTGACTCAATCCTTAAATATACAAGTATATTTAAGGATTTGAAAGATTATACAAGTATATTTATAATATACTTGTATAATCTGTATAATTTATACAAGTATATTTATAATATACTTGTATAAATATACAAGTATATTAAGTATATTTAAATATACAAGTATATTTAAGGATTAACATGTCTAGATTGTAGTAATAAATATTAAAACTTTATCACGAACAAGGATATTTTAAAAAATTACTTCTCCAGTCACTTTCAATTTTTACTAAGAAATAAATAAATTCATTTATTATAATTCCTTTATAATAAATGAATTTATTTAATTCTTAGTAAAAATTTATTTGAAAAACACAAATATTTGTTTCATTTGGGTCTCTAATTAATAAAAAACGACGAAACGCCATTTTAAAGTGCATTTTTATTCGACTAATATATTTATAAATAATATGTTGCCCAGAAAGTAGCCAATGCGCGAAATGATAATTTTTACGCCAAACTGAAAAAAGGGTAATCAAATCTTTCAATGGTCTTTCAATGCTGAAAATAATATTAAATAATGCTGGAGTTGGAACTCAAAGGATTATAGACCCAAATTTGAGAAAAGCAGAGAAAGGCCAAAAGATAAATAGTAGTGAGGAAGGTTAAATAGACCTTCTGTTATGCAAATATTGACCCTTAATTTTCCAACATTCCTCACTACTTTTTATTTTTTGTTCTTTCCTTTTCTCAAATGTGGGTCTATAATCCTTTGAGTCATAACTTCAACTTTATTTAGTATTCCTTCGTTATTCACACATCTCCAAGTATTTGAAAATATTTCCTTTTCACTCAAAAATAAAATATGTATAAAAGTTTACGGCTTTGTGAAATTTCTTTTTTGAGTTTAAGCCATTGAAATAAGTAAATAAACAAAAATAAAAGAATTTGTCGGTTTTGTTTACACGTTTATTGGGCCGCATTGAAACTTGCCTTGGGCCGCGGGTTGGACACCCCTGCTTTAGAAGTTGATGTTTGAACGTTCAAATATCTCGAGAATAAGCAAATTTGTGAGCTGCCACATCACCAAAATTTAAGACCTGATAGAAAGTGTCGTGGCTATAATTTGGCTATAGAAGGGCGGCGGCTATATCTCTAGTGAGATGGCGCCTTAGGCATTTTGCCACGAGGAGCGCTAGTCGTCCATGTAAAGTTCGTGAGCTCTTTTATAATCTAGAATAAAGTTGTTCTATTGTTGGAAGCTTGGATTGATTGTGTATATAGAAACTATACTGCGCTAATACCGGAACAAAGGGTTATGGGCCTAAGAAGAAAATTCTAACGTCGATGCAACTGGATTGAACGAGTAACCAACCATGGTAAGCCCAAATTTAGAAAAGCTATCTTAGAAACAGAAACCTTATAACGGATAGAATGGCCGAAATAGGACATGGACAGCTACCGAAGTTTACAGGTAGCAATTTCACAAGCTGGAAGTACCGTATAATGGCCATCCTAGAAAGTTGAGATCTAGGAAATTATTAACAGACGACCCGCCTACGTATCCCGCAGAAGAGGCGAAATGGAAAAAAACGGACTCCCAGGCCAGAGGCATTTTAACATGACACAAGGTGGTGTCATTTATCTTAACGTGTAGAACGGCGAAACAAATTTGGACCCACGAGAAAGATATGA